CAGTCGCCCTGTGCGTCCTTACACTGGCTTTCCCTTCTTGCCCTCTGTCCCCTCCGTCTTCCATTCCTGCTCCTTTGGGACCACACCCCCTAACACACTTAGCATTTAAGCTTTTTATCTCAGACCCGGCTTCAGGGGACCCCAGGCTAAAACAATCTATTATGAGAAGATTCTATTTTCTTGGAAAAGGTACATTAGGAAAAAATGGGAAAAGAAAGAAAGGGAGCTACAAATATGAATATTCATAACAGATGCAAGAAGGGGATCATCCCCGCGAGCAGAATAGACTCTTGACTGTAGCCCACGTGTCAAGTTCGCTTCCTCACTTGTGGGGATGCAGTAGACTAGGGGTGCAGGGAGAGGCGCTAAGCTAGAGGAACCTGGAGGGGCGTGGTAGCCCAGGCTAATCCATATTCCAGTCCCGAGCTGGCTGTTTACTGTCGACTATGTGATCTTAGGTGCATGTCCACCTCTGAGCCTCAGAGCTCAGAGCCTTTCCTCACTTGTACAATGAGGATAATAAATGCCTACTTCAAGTGGTCACTCATACTGTGAGATACACAGACTATGCTAGTTGAATGCTCAGCCCAGTGTCCAGCCCACGGTATGTGTTCAATGAATGGTAAGTCATGGTAGAACAGCCCTCTGTAATTAGCTTTGGATTGTCTGAAATCATAATTTTCCTACTGCTTCATATGTGCATTCTTAGCTTCTGCAATAAAATGGTAAGCCTCTCAAAGGCAGTGATAGAAAATCTGTTGGTCATCAATACTTATCCCTTTCCTAGAAATGAGTCCAGCTTTCCTGCCCATGCTAGCAGAGACCTTTGCCTCCAGGATTGCTTGCCTTTCATTGCAAGGCAGTTCCCAGGAGGCAGATTCTGAGACAGACGTGTACCGGGGATTGCTGGGGCGTGCTCTCGAGTCAACACCTTGGAGGATGCTGGATGAAGCAGAAGATGGGCTGTGATGCAGTCACAGGACCTTGGCTGACCCCAAGGGAGCTCTGAAGCTGGGATGGCCCCTCGGGGTTGTCCCCGGGTCTTCCAATCCCTATTCTGACCAATCATTGGATGTGGCTGCACTGGGAAGGAGCATGTCCTTCGGCAGATGGCTCCCTGCTCCAGAGCAGTGCCCTGAAGGCACTGACAGCTGAGCACCACCAGCAGCGGGGGAAAGAAGTCCTGAAGTGGGGGATCTGGGTGGAGCAGCATCCACACCTTCAGTGTAATGGTGGCTTTGGAGAGTGTGCTAGTCACTGCTAGTTCTCTACTCAGTACCCACTTTCCCTTTTTTCCCAAGTAAAATGAGGCTGAGTTTGTTTGGGACAGCAGTATGCCCAGTAAAAATCCTCATTTTCCTAGACTCCTTCACAGTAGAGGTAGCCAAGGGGCCCCAGTCTGGCCAGTGAGAGGCCAACAGGAGTCTGGGTTCCTGATGACATCATGGCGCCACGGGTGAAAGTGAAAGGCTTTATTTGTTTAGGTCACTGTCATCAGGTTTCTGTAGCACGGAACCAAAGGCAGTCCTAAATGGTTCCAGAGGCTTTCTCATGTGCCCTGCTTAAGAGCATGGTCCTGCATGTGAAATGGGCACAGCGGGAGTCCAGCTCTGCTGCACCCCAGCAACCATGTGGCACCTCCGACGAGCTACTCCTCCTGCTTCCCTTTTCTGTAAACGTGGGAATGACAGTAATATTCTCACAACTGTCTCAACATATAACACTAGGGTAACCAACTTGTTCCAGTGTGCCTGGGACTTTCTTGTTTTTTTTTTTTTGAGACAGAGTCTTGCTGTGTCGCCAGGCAGGAGTGCAGTGGCGCAGTCTCGGCTCACTGCAACCTCCGCCTCCTGGGTTAAAGCAATTCTTCCACCTCAGCCTCCCAAGTAGCTGGGACTACAGGCACCTGCCAAATGCCTAGCTAATTGTTGTATTTTTAGTAGAGATGGGGTTTCACCATGTTGGCCAGGATGGTCTCGATCTCTTGACCTCGTGATCCACTCGCCTTGGCCTCCCAAAGTGCTGGGATTACAGGTGTGAGCCACCACGCCCAGCCCTTTTCTGGTTTTTAAGCACTGAAAACCTCACATCCTGGGAAACTACTCAGTGCCAGGCAAACCTGGACACCTGGTCAACCTACTAAAACACCCTCAAACCACCCTGCTTCCTTTACAGACGGAAGACTGGAAAAATTGTGTGATGCTGCCCTCTAGTGGTTAAATGTAATATAACTGCTGCAAAGATACATTTTACATTGTAAGTTTTCTTAAGAATAGCAAGCCACAGATGGTTAGAGGCAGTATTCGAATATTCCCCTAAACATTTAGATTTTAATGTAGAACTGCTTTAACCCCACTACATTATTCATTGATATTTGACAGCAAATACAGTATCTTGTAGGACTATTGTGAAGATTAATGAAATGGTGCAAATTTTCCTACAGTATCTCATATAGTTTTATTATTATTATTATTGAGACAGGGTCTTACTCTGTAACCCAGGTGGAGTGCAGTGGCACAATCACAGCTCAATGCAACCTCAGCTCCCCTGGGCTTAAGTAGTCCTTCCACTTCAGCCTCCCAAGGAGCTGGGACCATAGGCATGTACCACCACTCCTGGCTAATTTTTGTATTTTTAATTTTTTGTAGAGATAGGGTCTCTCTCTGTTGCTAGGCTCGTCTCAAATTCCTGGGCTGAAGCAATCCTCCTGCCTCGGCCTCTCAATGTGCTGAGATTACAGGCATAAGCCTCTGCGCCTGGCTAGAAGTGCTCTTCGGTTCACTGATATCATGTGAACTAGAGTTAGACTCAGCTCTGACTCTTCCTTTGAAAAAGTGACTTCAACACCTGCCAGGCTCCCCCACCCCCACCCCAGCCTGTTTTCCTCATTTTTAGGGAACTAGGACTTTCGTCAGAATGTTGTGAAGATTGATAAAGAAGCACTTGTGGAACCCACGTAGTTGGCACTAGCTGGCACCTTTGCTGCTGACAAAGCTGTCCGGAAGGCAGGCCTCAGGCCATCCCTCTGCTGAGGGGCTCTGCAGCTCTGAGGAGCTGAGCTGGCCCCAGGGATGACTTCTCCTCATCAGGGCCGGTCTCCGCTGGCAGTGAGGCTTCAAGAAGGGCTGCCCAGCTGCTCTGACGAGTTCAGCCGCTTCCTCTTCAGCAGAAGCTATTACTCATCTGAGCTGGCTCCTGGGCAGGCACTAATACAGCAGTACAATCCAAACTTCCAGTTCAGTGGCCTTGGGCAGTGGGAGTTAACTGGTGTTTAGGCCAGAACTCTGTGCTGGCTCTGTTAAAGCCACAGCTGCAATGTAAACCCCAGCTATTTTCTGCTATTTGTGGTTGTGTTTAAACACACCAGAGCACACCCACCCTTGTCTGAGCTGCTAAATCTGTTCAGCAGGCTTCCCAGAGATTCCGAGAAATAGAAGCATCTATCCCTGCCTCTCTCTAATCAGTCTTTAAGACTTCTAGAAAAAGAAATCACCTAAATCTTCCAAAGTCTAATTCTGCTACAGCTATGAAAACCCTCAAATAGGCTTAATAGCAATATTAGATTAAGTTCCTCAATTCCATTTCAAGTGAAGTTAGAGAAAGAAAACTTCCATAACAAATACCCACAGCCGCAATGAAAAAGCCTCTGCTTTGTTCTGTGTAAAGCCTTGTAGTCCTGTTTTAGTTCCTTGGCTTTAAGTTTCCATTTCATGGATTTTAAATGAGATTTTAAAAATGTGTCTAATATATACCATGAAATATTATTCAGTGGCTATGAAGAGCCATCTACATTGATACACAGCTCTATCAATCAACCATCTATCATCTTAACATGGAAATATCTTTAAGACATACTGTTAAGGGAAGTGAGTTAATGAGAAATACTTCCAACACATACTATTAAAAGATATAAGTGGCCAGGCATGGTGGCTCACGCCTGTAATCTCAGCACTTTGGGACACTGAGATGGGCGGATCACTTGAGGTCAGGAGTTCAAGACCAGCCTGGCCAACATGGTGAAGCCCCATCTCTATTAAGAGTACAAAAATTAGCCGGGCATGGTGGCGGGTGCCTGTAATCCCAGCTACTCAGGAGGCTGAGGCAGGAGAATTGTTTGAACCCAAGAGGCGGAGGTTGCAGTGAGCCAAGATTGTACAATTGCACTCCAGCCTGGGCGACAAGAGCGAGACTTCTCAAAAAAAAAAAAAAAAAAGATACAATAAAAATATTTTTAAGGGAAGCAAGTCACATTTTATAGACATAAAATTATCTAGTTCCTGTTAAAAACTACATATATTTCTGAATCTGCATGGAACTTTTCCAGAAGAGTATCTGTCAGACAGCTCACAATGTTACCTCTGGAGGTGGAGAACTTCACTTCTGAAGTTGTTTTTCAGTATTGGTGATTTTCTAGTGGGCATATATTAATCGTAAAACAAGAAAAAAAAACAAAACCAAGAAAGCTAAATGATGCATGTATACTCCCAGGCCTGTCATGAAAGGAGTCATCGGACCACTGCCCAGAAACCAAGGGCTATGACTATGCCCACTACTCTCACCTCTGTGCTCAGTGCTATTATGGAATGAAGTCTCTCGGAACTTGACATTGAGGAAGATGTTTTAATGCTGTGCATACCCAGTGTCTTAGAAGACAAAATTTTTCTCCACACTTTTGATGTTGCCTCTTAGGCACAATATTTACTTTTACCAACATATACTATGAACTGATTTTTAAAGAAATCTTCTGAGTCGCTTTTATTTTTAAAGCTTCAAGCTGTGTTTAGCAGTTCTAATTCAGATATATTGTGAGTGGGAAGAAAAAAACCACATTCAGTCTTTGAATACTTGAGAGGTAACACAACTTTCAGCAATAAGTGAAGCAATTAAGGCGAAATTTTAAAATACTGGTTCTCTGCATGACATTTGAATGAAGGGGGAAAAAGAAAATACTGGCTCTCACTTGAAAATAACTAGAGTGACTTATAGGTACAAATCATTAGTTGTATATCATAGGTATTCTTCAAAAATTTATTGATAGAAACAGACATATTCAAATGCAACACTGGACAAAAACAGAGAAAAAGCTGGAATGCTAATGACACCAGAGAATCTCACTTGCACTTTACATTTCTCTGAATTAGCACCATTAGTTCAGAAATCACAGATGGAATCATAATTGCTTCTAATATATAAAACGCCTTATAAAGATTTGTAAACTATCTAATAGCAAAGTTCTTCCAAAAACACATTTAAAAATCAACCAGAATTTACCATTTGAAACTGATGAAAATGGTTTAAAAATGAATTCAATTCTACGGCTTGTCAAAGGGAATGAGCCATAATTAGCTTTATTGGAAGAATGTGCCTGAATTCGTCTTCTAGCCTCCGTCTAACCACCAAACAGGTACAGTAAATTGAACATTACTACAGGAATCAGAGTCCTCTAAAACTGGTCTTAGAAAATATTTTCCTAGACTATAAAAATACTAAATGGCATACAAAAATTTCAGCATATACAGCAAATTGACTACAGCGGACAAATATTTAGAATGTACTTAAAACTATCGTGTACCACAATCATCATGAATATAAAGTATTCTTCTAATCAGTTTTCTATGAGTCATTCTGATTCAGCTTATTTCCCCTCAAGTTTTGTTCTAGTGTCAGATACAGACCAAATTCTGTGTTTCTAGCAGAAGTTACTGGAAAAACCATCGAAAAATTCTTGGCATTCAACTGGTTCTCAAAGTGCTGGAAGTGCAATTGTAGTATAGCCTATTTTTAAGGTCAGGGGTCAGCAAACTACAGCCCAGGGGCCAAATCTGGCCATCACCTGTCTGTCTGGCCCGGGAACCCAGCCACATGCATTCCTTTACGTATTGTCTGTGGTTGCTTTTCTGTTTCAGGAGCAGAGCTGAGTAGTTGTGACAGAGACTGCATGTGGCCTTTTGGTCCACACACTCTGAAATATTTACAATCTGGCCCTTTACAGAAAAAGTTTGCCAACCCCTATTTTAGATAAATCACTTCAAGAAATCCTTAGCAAGGACAAGATAAAAATGTCTAAGATTAAAAAAATTTTGGCTGAGGTGTGCTGGTTCCATCACACAATACCATGAGGCAGGCCGAAGGGCGCAAACTTGGATCGGCGACTTTGAGTCTTGAACTATATCATTCTGGTATTCTAAGCAAAGTCTGCCCGAGACAAAGTACCTTCTACTCCTCTGTGAACTGGCTATTTTGTACCAAGCAATTCACATACCGCATTATAGCAACGTGCTTACTGTTCAACCCCCAGCCGTCTGTGGTTCCCACAAACAATATTTAGCCTTTGAGAAGCAATAATCTTCTACCCTTAGCAACAGACAGAACTAGCAGTGGACCTTTCCCAGTGCTCTGACTGGCACAGATTCTATCCCGCTGCACTGCACACCTTTCAGAATCCTTCCCTGTGACATGCATCATAATAATTCGTACTACTGCCACCCAGGGCCACAAACATGTCCCTTTTGACAAAGTGAACCAAGTTTTCAAGGGGGCACATGGGCTTGGGAGAACGCTTGTGGTGGTCTTGGCAGAAAGAGGTGTGGAATGTGACATCGACGCCATTGTAAAGAATCCGGACGGAATGTTCACTGGGTTTTTCTCTGTCTTGCCAAAGCTCAAAGATCAACCTGGCCGCAAACCTTGGGAATCTGGCTTCGGAAAGGCCCAAGGCACTGAGAACTGGTGACAGAGTGACATCATGAGCAGAGTAGAGGGCAAAGAGCTCTTCTTTCCTGCCCTCGGTGGCACGCTGCATCCGGCTGATGGTTTGGTTCAGGATGGGGTGGGCACCCAGGAGAGAATACCCAAGGTACAGTTTTTTCTCCCGTCTCTCCTTTTCATCCTCGATCTGATGGGTCTTAATTACCTTGAAGTGCTCCATGTCGACACAGCCATTTCTGGTGCAGGGAAAGCTGACGTTGTGGCAGAAGTGGCAGAGCATGGAGTCTATGGGGTTGGCAGCACGGAGCTGCTTGGTGGGGATGTCCACAATCTTGGCCATCTCCCCGTAGGTCTTCTCCAGCTGGTTGTTTTTCAAACGTAGGAGGTACTGACGACGCTGCTCCTTTTCCAGATACTGGTTTCTCACCGGGCAATAGCAGCTTCCAGAGCAGAAGAGCGCACTTGGCTGGTGTCTGAAATAAATCTTCTTCCAGTCAAAATCTGGGAGAAAGCCATAAAGCAAGGCCAGCCCACTTTGTAGGGTCCGGCTTTTCCCAGTGGTCTCTAAATAGAGCTGGTCGGCAGACCAGTCAGTGGGCAGGAGTTTGTGTTTCTTTAGATAGATGTCCCTCAGCAGCTGGCCGTTCTGCAAATGCTGCACGACGCCTGAAACACAAGCACACAAAGCTTTCCTTACTTCTAGCTGAGCAAAAGAAACAGCAAGGGGAGGCGGAGTCAGTGTCCAGCTCTGGAGTGTTTTAGGGCAGTGGAGTGCAAGAGAATGGCATCCAGCCTGCTCCCCCATGCTGTGGGGGTTACAAGCTCGAGTTCACAACAGCTTGGGAAGGGACCCCCTTGGGAGAATGCATGAAGGATGAGCAGAGTGGGGCCCTGGTCCTGGGAACCACAGCCTTTGGACCATCTGCCTCTCACTTGTCCTCCAGACCGGCCCCTTCCCTGGGGAAAGTGTGGAGACTGGTGGGTCTCAGGGGTAGGAATCACCCAGCCTCCGGGATATCTGTAATTGCATGGGCCTCAGGAGAGCTTTTGCCTCCTGTCCAGCATTCCTCAGTGTGCAGGTTGTGCTCAGTGAAAATGCTCAGGTAAAGGCTGACTGCAGATTCCCTGCTTGCTGCTCAGTCTCCTCACTGCTGGAAAGTCCCTCCTTGACCCCATCCTCCCCAGCCTGCAGACCAAATGTTCTCTGATAGCCTGCTGGGTACGTTCTGCCTGATCCTGGGGGCTTTACAGATTCATCAACACACATGCACTCTCTGTATGACATGGAACAATCTCCGGATACCCAGGTAGAATATTTGAAAAAAGTATAGAACAGTATGTTGATCATGCTCCTTTAAAAAGAAAAAGAGGAGGCCAGGCGCGGTGGCTCATGCCTGTAATCCCAGCACTTTGGGAGGCCAAGGCAGGCAGATAATAAGATCAAGAGATCGAGACCATCCTGGCCAACATGGTGAAAAACCCGGTCTCTACTGAAAATACAAAAATTAGCCGGGTGTGGTGGCAGGCGCCTGTAGTCCCAGCTACTCAGGAGGCTGAAGCAGGGGAATTGCTTGAACCCGGGAGGCAGAGGTTGCAGTAAGCTGATTGCGCCACTGCACTCTGGCCTGGTGAGAGATCGAGATTCTNAAAAAAAAAAAAAAGAAAGAAAGAAAGAAAAGAAAAAGAGGGAAAAATGAGAACGTGTATTTGCAGTTGCCTGAGTTTTGCATAAAGAAACTTTCGAATGATGCACAAGAAACTACTCTCAATGGTTCCCTGGGGGTGATGGAGGTACAAAAATGAAGTGGGTAGGATATGGGTAGAAGCAAGAATTTAAAGTTTACCTCTTAGTACTGTTTTAGTTTTGAACTATCACAGTATAATAATAAATTAACTTTTAAAATTGGAAAAAGCCTTATCTTTAAGTAGGAGAAGGCAACCCAAGATAAAAACAAGCTCTCTCATCCTGTAGGAGTAACAGGGTACAATCTGTCACGGGCGTGAGTTCTACACCCAGACCCTGTGACCAGTGATGCCATTTATTTGGATGTCCAAACAGTGTAAAAAGTCCCACTGCAAAGATGAGACAACTTGGGCTGAAAATCATGAGACGGGGGAAATATGTTCCCCCAGGAAAGGGAACAGGTCAGCAAAACCCACAAGGGATGTCTGGGTCCTACCATGAATGAAAAGCACTGAGGGCAGAACTCCCGTAGGAACCAGGAACTAAAGGCTGAAACAGGCTCTAGCATTTCCAAGATGTTTCGCAAGAAACACGCAAACCATGAGAGATAAACATTAAGATTCTGTGTCTTGCCCTAGTTCACTGCTGGGCCTATCTTATTTTGTTAGGCTACATAAATTAGAGTTGTGTACCAGGCCGTTCTCATTTAATCCTCATAAAAATCCAGTGAAGAAGGTATATTATTATTATCATCCCCATTTTCCTTGTTGTATAGATGAAGAAATGAAGACCTGGAACCATTCACAGTTAAAAAGTGGCAGAGCTACAACTCAAGGCCCCATCTGGCCCTAATTTTATGTTCTTAGTCCCGTACATTTTCATGCAGAAATACTAAGTTCTAGCTATTTAGGGCTTCTTATGCTTGCCAATCACAGACTGTATCTTCATGGAAGATGGAACAGTTCATACTGTGCCCCTTTCTCTCCCTAGAGAAATCCTCCCAGGGCCTGGCTCCAACATTACCTTCTTTGTGATGCTTTCCTTCTTCCTCTCCCTGGTCAAGTTAGTAATTCCTTCCTCCCCCATACGCTGCTGGACCATGACGACATCAGCTGCATGCATGGGAGCCTCTCACGTGCCAGCACTGCACTAGGCACGCTACACATGCTACCTCACTGAATTCACCACCAGCCACCGGGAAGGCAGGATCCTCTGCATGCTACAGGTCTGTGCAACTGCAAAGCCCGTGTTCACTCTCTAAGGCCCTGCAGCATCCGGCTACAGCAGCTGTCTCCATGCGCACTGTCTGCTGCAGCTGCAGGCTCCTGTCGGACAGGCAGGAGGGTCCTATTCACACTCAGCAGCTGCCAAAGCATCTTCAACAGGGTGGGCACTTGTGAGCAATCTAATCTTACATAGTTACTGTGGGGTGCCATAAGTGCACCAGGGACAAAAGATGGTTATAACAGCCATACATTTTTCATGATATTTAAAATGGAAGATAAAAGTGACCATGAAAAGAGAATGAGGAAACAGGAGCAGACAGTATTATAAAAATGATTTCTAGATTAATACTAACTTAGAAACGATGATGATGATAGATGTGTTGAGAAGAAAGATCTGAATGAATGATGAGGTGTATGAGGGCCAACCCCCCAGCCTCTTCTCAGGGAGCAGCTCCTGGATCCAGAGACTGGTACCCTCACTGCCCTGTTCTCTGCAGTCACCCTGACCTGTTACCCGGGCCTGATGGATGCTAACCCCTAGGACCTCAAGGATTCAATCTCTCTCAAGAATTTGGACTTGCAAATTCATCTGTGTGTGTGGCTGGGATTGTAATTCTGTTGATAGACACAGTAAAAAGTGACAGAGAGAGGCAGGGGCTAGAAAGCTTTTTTATTCCTGGTTCCAGTCTCTAGAGGTCTGGTCACATTCTTGATCTCAGAGTCTGTGAGTCATTCCTAAATCCTTATAATAAATTTCCCTTTTTCGGTTGAGGTGGTTTCTGTTATTTTTAACCAAAGAGCCTAACCAGCAGTTCTCCCCAAGAGTGCTACTGCCTTCAGAGAGGGCTTGGGGGTGGAGTTACCACAATAATATGGGGAAAGGCATTCCTGGCACCTAGTGGGTGGGGGCCGGGGGGCTAGACAGTCTCTAGAAGGGACACGTGTCTCTGTCCCACAAAACTTTTGAATGCAGCACAAGACATTCCAACATGTGCAAAACATATTTGAATACATTAGCCTATAGAATCTAACTCTGGTTTTTGTGTCTAGAAACACAAAACCATTTTATATAATATTAACTTCCACTGAATTTTCCAGAAATACAATACAAACTAAGGAACACCTATACTTTTCTTTGATCAGAATTTCAGAAAAACCATGTCCTGACATGCAGTATTAGAGTCACCAATACAGCATCCATCAATTATCTGCATTTATAGCTGTCAGAGTCACATTTAGGTGCAAGCATTTGAAGATGTCATTATGGTTTCTAGTGTAGCTGTTTTTAAGCATTTATACGGAGACACGTATAATTATGTAATAAATTAGTTTCTTTTTGTTTGTTATAGCTGGGGACTCTAACTTTTAAATAATTAACTATACAGAAAGATTACATTTATTTATTTATTTATTTATTTATTTGAGACAGGGTCTCACTCTGTCACTCAGGCTGGAGTGCAGTGCCGTGATCATGGTTCACTGGAGGGCTTGACCTCCTGAGCTCATGTGGTCCTTCCTCAGCCACCTGAGTAGCTGGGACTACAGGCACATGCCACCACATTTGACTAATTAAAATTTTTTTTTGTAGAGACAGGGTTCCACTATATTGCTCAGGCTGCTCTCGAACCCTTGGGCTCAAGCGATCCTCCTGCCTCAGCCTCCCAACACGCTGAGATTACAGGTGTGAGGCACCATGCCCGACTGGTTACAGTATATATAAATTTCACTTCATGAGAGTTGAGGGAGATTGCAAAATAGTTAACTGTGTAACCAAAGGTGGTGTTGGATCTGGTAGGATAAAAACCCTTGCTCTATACGAATGCATGTGGAACTAATTGCCAAAGCTTTTGACATAACTCCTCGTCCAAGGCTAGTCCTCTGGAGGCTTCAGCCTGCTCTACTCTGTCAGCCGGTGTCATTCCCCCAATAAGAACGGCAAAACCTAAGAGGGCCAACTATAGGACAGAGACTTCCCCTCCATCCCTGCTGAGGTCCTAGAATGTTGATGCAACATGAAAACAGAACACAGCCAATGGGTCTTCCCAATTCACCCATAAAGTCTGGTGACCAAGAAAAGGTCCTCTGAGGTTCCAGACTGAAGAAACAGAAAACAGAAACCTCTTGAAGGACCACCTGTTCCTCTGTTTCCAGCAAAGGTGACTCCACACTTAACTCACCGACCTACCCTGGTGGTGAACTGCCTGCACGTGGTCTGACTAGGGCTGCAGAGGGAAAGCTGCGCTGCTGTGAGGACTCAGCCCAGCAAACTCCACACGCAGCGGAAATGTGCCATGCATCTTCCCTCCTGAGATCTTGTACATGAGAACCTATTAGAAGTTTTGTTAGAAACATCCGAGAACATGGAATGAAATAAATGATCAATTGCCCATCCAGAGTGAAAGAATATGGAGCTATGACAAATGATGGCGTGGATAAACAGTTTTTGATAGGGAAAGATTATCCAAATGTATCGCTGAGTGAAAAAGTGGGTTATGAAATTGTGTGTTTAGTAAGGTGTGTGTCTGCATAAGCACAGGAAGAAAGGTTACTTGTAAGGGTCTATTTCTGTGGTGGAATTACGGTTGCTTAAACGTTTTCTTCCTTTTACTTGTCTTTCCTAATTTCTCTTCATAAACACGTATGGTTTTTGTAATAAGGAGAAAGTTCTATTTAGTTTTGAGAACTCAGATGTTTATTTAGAGGCCCTGGTGACGGAGCTCCTCGTACAGCCAGTCCTCATTTACCCCTCTGAGCCGCACAGCACCCCGCTCTGAAGGTATGCAAGCAGGAGAGTGGGCTGGGGAGCCCCTGAGCACATGGCTGTCACACCTACCTGTCTGTGTGAGCTCTCCCATCTCACACAGCGGGTGATTTGGGTAAAGAGGCAAGGAGTTCAAGGGGCTTTCGAAAGAGGCTCCAGATCCTTTTGACATGTGATTAACGAAAGCTTCCAGTTTTGGGTGATATGGTTTCCTAGAGAGACGATAAAGAGTTAGAGGTCAGAGAGCGCCAAGAGGGTCCAGGCAGTTTCCAGCTTCAGCAAGCAAATCCCACATGCGTCACGGCCTTTTGCACCCACAGTAACAGGTACTGGCTTAATCGCTTTTCAATTCCAATGTCATTATTTCTTGACCACTGACACTGACATGTGAAATCCCCTCTGTGAGGTCAGCCGGAGTGCCTGACCTCTGCTGCACTCAGTACTGTGGGATTCAGCTTCACTGTCTACCTGCCTGCTTCCCACCTGCGCCGCCTTCCGGGAGGCCGCCAACACCCACCCAGCAGTCAAGCCTAGGCCGGGCATCATCCCGCTCTCTCCCTTCCCTGCCCCCGCACAAGCCATCTGCTCCCCACGTCTTGCAGATTCTTCCTCCTGGTGCTTCTTCAACCCCGTCTCCTTCATCCTCATAGCTACTACCTGTGTTCTGGCCTCAGGCAGCTTTTGTCTCCCTGGCAACGGGCCCTTTCTTGGTCTTCTTGCCAATTAAGCAAGCCCCTCTAATAATCTTGTCTTCTCCACAACCAGAAGGATGGATTTAAAAGGTAACTGAGCAGTCACTGCCCTTCCCTATCACCACCTTCTGGAAGGAGGCACACACAGCCTGTCACTCCGTTCTGACCCGCCTCAGTACTCCCTGGCCCTCTCTACCCTAATACTGTGCTCTGGTCACACTGAGCCAATCTTTTTTCCAACGCACAATGCTCCTCATTCTTCAACACATCCACCACTTTCCACAAGCTATCCCTTCCTCCTAGAAAATCTACCCTGTCCTTTACTGAGGTAACCCATAATCCTTAATTTTTCTGACCTCTGAAAAATCTCCCTTTAGGAAAACTGTTAACTGAGTAGGATAATCAGGATCTCTACCCCTTTACAATTCACTCTGCATTTTGGACATGCAACCTCTCATTTAACACAGGGTAGTAATAAATGTCAAAAAGTTTATATATGACATCTGAGAGTATCTCTATTTCTGCCACAAAGTATATGTGTTAAGTCTTTCAAGTCACTAATATACAATTACCGTGAATAATGAAATGACTTATGAAACATAAACATCTTTTGTTTGAATAATGAAATAGCCTATGAATGCATACATATTTTCCAGCTGAAGAGAAGTAGACAGATAGAGTAGTTCATGACTAAAGTCTATAAGAATCAGCATGAAAGAAGCAAAGATAAACCTTTCTAATGGCAAATCCCTGCTGCCTGAAGGCCCAATTAACTTTGGAGTGCTTTAAAAATGGCTGCCAAAATGGGTTTATTATCTATCAACAACATAAAGCTAAAAA